CCTCCACGCACAACCCATGAGCCACAATGATCCAGGGTCACTTGTAGCTGCAAGGGAGTCTGGGAACTAGTGCCTGGGTTGAGGGAGCAAGGCGCAAGGCAGTTAGGATGAGTGTGGAGCTGCCAATCTTCACCTCCACAAAGAACCATCCTGGCTTCTGTTGATCTTAACAAGTGCAGCTCCACGTCTGGTTTTGTTTTCCTCCTGTGTGGAAAGACATGGCTTCCAGAAGCACAACCGTCCTGCTCTAAGAAAACGCAACAGTCCAGGTGTTTAACCAAAGGGATAATGGGGTGTGCTTAGCCCCAGGTCACTGCTGAGGATGGGGTGGCATTTAAAGTACCGACTGACTCACATGGCACAGGCCCCAACCAATCTGATCAGATGCCCAGTTGATGAGGACGTAGGCCCAACTGATCCTCAGGAATGCCTGCTGAGGGGCAGGGAGCCAGAACCAGCAGACAGCAGCCCTGGTTGTGGATGTTTGGGTTCACAGTGGGGAAATCTCTGTGTTCCCTCAAGATCTCCTAATTTTGACATGTTGTGTGAATTTCTGGATGACATTGTGCAGGGCCCTCATCTTTGGGTCTTGGAGGTGCAGAGGCATGGCCTGACTGGCTTGGGGGAGGGGCGGCACTGCTGGCCACTCTCCATGGTCCTGGCAGACAGTTTCTTTCCTCTGGGACCCCACTCCTTCCCAGGTGCTCTTAGGAGTTCCAGCCCAGGAGAGACAGGTGGTTGAGGGAAGGGAGAGTCGGGTCCAGGGGATGGTGGGAGAGGCTCCCTAGGAAGAGAGACTGCTGAGAACCAGGAGAATTGAGAATGACATCATTTTTTAATGGACTGAAGTCTCCAAGGATGGGACAGGGACAACAGGATATTTTTAAAGAGTCCCAGATGAGACAAAGCCCCGTAAGTGTCTCCACATGGTGGTCGAGAAGAATCTAAGTGGAGATTGCATGGTTAAAGTCACTTCCTCAGTTTTCTTTTCTACCTGATGAAAACGCGTGATTTTTTATATCCTGCTGTTACAGAATGACCTATGCATGAGTTATGCTGCTACGTACGTAGCTGATTATAAGTACTTTTGACATTTTTAGGATGTTTCTTTCTAGTAGCTACAAATTTCTTTCCCTCTGAGAAATGGCAGGGTAGATGGGGTTCCTGGATTTTAAGGGCTGTAGGATGTGAAGGGTGTTTGTGTCCTGCTGGCTTCTGGGGAGTGTGGCCAGGAGAGGGTGGGAGCAGAAGGAACAATCACCCCTGGTGGGACTCATGGGTGTATTGATCGAACTGCTCCAGACAAACAGACAAAATGGAACCCTCAGATATACTGGTGAAGTTTGAAGCGGTGCAGCCACTGAAGTTAACAGTTTGGCAGTTCCTCAAGAAGTTAAAAAAGTTTACCATATGACCCAGCAGTCCCACTCTTAGGTGTGTGCCCAAGAGAATGGGATGCCTAGGTCCACACAAAACTGGTACTTGAATGGGCTGAGCAGCCAACAAGTGAAAACAGCCCACATATCCATCAGCTGATGATTGGATAAACAAAATGTGGTCTATCTCTGCTTTCACAGTGAATTGTACACTATAAACGTTTTATAGTATGTGAATTATATCTCAAAAAAAGTTATTACTGAAAGAAGAATGAGAGATGCCCCCCTCTGGTTTTTGATACTGAATGATCTTCAGAGAAAGTGTAAATAACACATTGCCTTTTGTATAGAGAAGGGGAGGGTGGATAAGAATGTGCGTTAGCATTTGCTCATGTTGAATTTATAATGTTTCTTCTTACCTCCAGTATGAAACTATAAATGCGGCCACCTGGGGTGAGACCAACATTTTTCACTTGAACCTTTTTATTATTACTTGAGTTTTCAGTCATATGAAACAAATTTTCTTTTTGTTTTCTTTTTTATTGAAGTATAGTCAGTTCACAATGTTGTGTCAATTTCTGGTGTACAGCATGTCTCAGTCATACATGTACATACACATATTCTTCTTCATATTCTTTTCCATTACAGGTTACTACAAAATATTGAATATAGTTCCTGTGCTGTAGAATAGTAACTTGTTGTTTATCTATTTAATATATAGTAGTTAGTATCTACAAATCTCGAACTCCCAATTTATCCCTTCCCACCTTCTTTCCCCTTGGTAACCATAAGTTTCTTTTCTGTGTCTGTGAGTCTGTTTCTGTTTTGTAAATAAGTTCATTTGTGTGGGGGTGGTGGTTTTAGATTCCACATATAAGTGATATCATATGGTATTTTTCTTTCTCTTTCTGGCTTTACTTAGTATGACAGTCTCCAGTTCCATCTATCTTGCTGCAAGTGGCATTATTTCATTCTTTTTTATGGCTGAGTAGTATTCCATTGTGCGTGCGTGTGTGCATGCGTGTTTGTGTGTATACCACATTTTCTTTATCCAGTCATCTGTTGATGGACACTTAGGTTGTTTGCATGTCTTGGCTATTGTATGAAGTGTTGCTGTGAACATTGGGATGCAGGTGTCTTTCTGAATTAAGAGTTTCCTCCAGATACATGCCAACCTTTTCTTGAAGTAGTCAGTTGTGTCATAGACAGCAAGCTCAGTAAGGCAAGGACTGAAGAAGTTCAGGTAATTGATGACTTTTCCAGGACAGTGTCAGGGCCTAGTGGGAGCAGAAATAAAGCAGCTCATACTGGATTCAAAAGTAAATGAGAAACAGGGAGTTTTTGCTGGATAATGTTGAACTGTCTGTAACTTGTATAGAGAAGTATTTGAAGGATTTACAGTTTGTCTTTTCTGATATTTTATGTTTTATTTCTGGGCCAGACGGGACCATCACACAGCTGTCCCTTGAAAGCCATGTTTACGTGCCCTGCTGTTTTACGCCCTCTGTTTACACTGAGGGACACCGCACAACTTTGCCTGTGTCTTGTATTTCAGAGTTAGGGAAGACTGTTTACCTTGTTACCTAAGGAAAGGCCATCAGAGAAATATTTTCAGAACTCAGTGCAGAAAACGTCCACTTCCCATTAATGCAAATCACATAACAAGAGAATCTGGCTTTTTCCTTGCTCTCAGGAAGATCAGAAATATTTATAGTTCAGCTTTAACTCAGGAGGCCCACGATTTTTACATGTCTGACTACTATATATCTATTTGTCCTGGGGCTGATCTTATATTCCTAAACACATTGTCGCCTACGTTGCGTTTCTAAGAATGCCGTCTCTACTTTTCCATCGTAATACACGCATCCCAGTGAACCTTTAAAAATTCAGTGCAAAAAAATAAAATAAACCAAAACAACCCAGTATGCCAAAGAGTTAACAGAAGGGAACCGTCAGCACCAGAAAACAGAAGAGGCTGGTAATATTGAGGGTTTTTTGTTTTTCTGCATCTGAGTTCAATACATTGATGTGTTAAGTTTGTGAAAAATAATTGAGCGATAGTCATGTTACCTGGAAGTCTGTATGTTTTAGTTAAAAATAAACAGTGGGGAATGTAAACAAAACAAAATTCCTTCCGGTCTGGATCTCCGGCCGGTCTGGATCACTCTCCGGCCACCAGTCCGCGACGGAAGGACCCAACCCCCTGGCCGCTGGGTCC